TTTTCATTCGAGCGCAATCACATTAAGCCCTTTAGCCTAACACGTACATAGCAGAATAATCGGTTAGTGGTTATGATCTTTTTAGCACAGTGGTTTCTGGAACAATAATGTGGCAACCTTCTCTTTTTTACCCATTTGCATGATGCGGGGGATCAAACAGTAGTATGCCCTACCAAGTTCAGTACCAGACGCCTCTGAACTACCTACAATGGATTTTATGTTACTTTATAGGTCTTACATCCGTTGGATTAAACGATAGGATGAGGATCGCCCAATTTAATAGGTGAATTTCTTGTAACATTTTCTAAATAAATAACCAAGATCATCCACTTATATTCATCGACTTTCTGCGTAGTTTGTGTTTAAGATGGTGCTGATTGCTAGATAAACTACTAAAGATTACTTCAAAACTAAAGCTCTGGGTTTCGGAATAATAAGTACTTTAACTTGTCTATTATACTCTGGGGTTGTATAGTGTCAATACAGTAGTGATTTCGTCAAATCTTGCGAAAGTTTCTAACAAAAATTAAAAAATTAGCGACCTATATACTAGTCGAGTGAGTCAAGTTATGTATTAAATCGAAACATTTTGTTGGGGCTCAATAAAGTGAGGTAATCGGAAAAACAACACAAAATATTGCATAAAAAGAAGGGAGAAGATAAAAATAAAAATTTACTAGAAAAAGTAGAAATACTTCCTCCCCCATACTTAAATCATACAATGTCCTCAATGTATTGGAAAATGAGAGTGGAAAAAACTAAATATTCATTCTTTCTCGCCTTGGCCACGAAATCTACCATGCATCCTTGGTCTAGATCTTCTACGCGCTTGCTCACCCCTTCTGAAATATTTTACTTCATATCTTTGACCCTCCACACGGGAAACAACTTCATGCAAACCTTCAACACAGAGTGCCAAAGTCTGCATGTCTTCTATCATGCATGCAGTGAATTCTAGCATACTTTGGTCTTGCCGGTGAGCGTAATCATGTTGATCTCTTTGCATCTGTTGGACGAGATGCATCATTTCCTCTTGACGTGTCTCGATGCTCTGGTAGTGCTGGTTAGACAATTGGTTTTGCTGCAGTATTGTGGCATAGATGGCATCGAGTGTGGCAGGTGGATTAGCATTTTGTGGATCTTGGGCTTCGAGAGGTTGAATGTTAGGTTGAGGTGCTTTATGTTCTAATTCTTGTTCCATTTCGTCAACAACATCATTATTGGCTTCGCCTTGGTTTCCTTGTACATTCACACCAGGCTCGGGGGGCGTTGAGGTTGTATAACCAGTTGTTTCCAATGCTTAAGTTTGTAGTATTTGGATTTGGCAAAATGACACTACGAACTTCATTATTCCTCACCATTAGATTATAACCTCCTGCTTCTCTTACCTTAATAAGGCGACCGGCTCTACAGTTGTTAATGTCCAAGAACACTGCTGGAAGAGAGGATAGATTCAGGACTCTCCCTCCCAGGTTCAGGTGAACTGTTATTGCACTGACGATACCTCCAATACAGAAAGGCGCAGTCCCGTATCTTGTTACAAGATTTTGAATGTGAGCCATCAGGAAGGTACTTGGGTTCATACCGAGGTTTAGCGCGAAGGCGCAATGGAGAGCATACAACTCCTTGGTGTTGACCTTGTTATTGTTATTTCTTCCAAAAATAATGCTGGCCAGGGTGCAATGAAGGTAGCGAATGTTCAGATTATAGATGTGAGAGGAGTAACGTGCTTCGGGAGCGACATTATTCTCACTGGATATTCTCTCCCATAATTCATAAGACATTCTATTCCAATCCAATTCAGGGGGAATTCGATATTACACATTGTCTCCACGAGGGAAACGAAACATGTCGCTCAAAGCATCCTGGTTCACCGTGTATTCCTGGTTGAACATACGAAATGTGGCTGCTCCAAAGAGGTTTGCATCAGCGTCGGTGGGAGTGATGTAGAAGTAGGAGCTTAAGAACTCCAAGGTTAGAGCCTTGTAGGTGGGTAAGCCCATCGTGCTTACAAATCCCAGGCCTGCTTTGTTTAGCAAACCTTGCATACTGTCATACATCCCTAAATTGCATAAATAATCATTGTCGACATATCGTATGGGTGTCAATCCTCGCTGATAAAACTTCTGGTATCTTTCCTGTTGGAGATCACCAGCTTCGCCTTGTCGAAACACGAGATGAGTCATATCAGGTTCTCCTTGATTGATTTGATTTCTACGAGTGGCCATGGTATATTTGACAAAGACGAAAAGGGAAGGTGTTTGTGTAGTGCAAAGAAGGTAGTGAATGGTGGTGATATTAGAAGGATAGAAGAAGTGGTTTAAATAGGTGAATATTATGAGTGGGTAATGAATGGTTTTTATGGTTTTGAAAGTGGGAGGTTATATGAATTGTAAGAAATAAATGAGTGGTAATGGCGGTATATAATGGGAATTATGGGGTTTAAATAATGGAAAGTGGAAGTTATAGAAATAAAAAAATGAAATGGTGTGGTCTTGTAGTCAAACTATGTGGTCACGAGATCTAAAAGCGTGGGAGGCAATGCTAGTGGTCGTCACATGCGTAGCAGAGCAAGGGAGGCAAGGCTGACGGACGCCAAACAAAGTTGTCGATCGTCACATGCATGGCTGGACTGGCTGACGGGCGTCACATCTAGCTTGATGGTCGGCAGTTTGCTAAGAAAGATGTGACGAACGTCACATCTGGCTAGACGGTTGTGTAGCGATAAAAAATGTAGCGGGGTAAATCGGAGATCGAATTATTGATTAATTCGTCTCACAAAAGCAAGAGTCGCCATCGCGCTTTATTGTTTCCAAGGGAAAGGGGAAAGAGCGAAATAAAACCCTAAATATGCAATGTAAATAATACTTTTTAAAAGTAGTAAAAAAAAATACAAGGCGTTTTTGAAAAGATCTATGGTTCGGGGGTTGATTATACAGTGGGAAGGTACTAGCACCCAATGTATCTATAGTACTCTATAGGAACCTTTTGAAATATCTGTTTATTAAAATGGTTCGCTTGATTGAAAAATAAAATGGTTTTGGCCGAAAAAGGGGTACAGACGGGTTTTTGAAGATACGACGACCTAATGTCGAAGTTTTTGCTTAAAAGGTATAAGTTTTGAAAAGATTGGATATTTGAGAAAAAATTGTCTTAAGTTTTATTGAAATGAAACTATTCGCACGATGTTTTTTTTTATGACATGAAGTCGACAAAAAAACAATTCCCTTGGATTGAAACGGACGAGAGATATACGGATTAACGATCAATTAATTAAAATTATAATTAAACAATTAACTAATGAAATTTAAATCATACTAGCGTGCATCTTTATTGTTTCCAAGGGAAAGGGGAAAGAGCGAAATAAAACCCTAAATATGCAATGTAAATAATACTTTTTAAAAGTAGTAAAAAAAAATACAAGGCGTTTTTGAAAAGATCTATGGTTCGGGGGTTGATTATACAGTGGGAAGGTACTAGCACCCAATGTATCTATAGTACTCTATAGGAACCTTTTGAAATATCTGTTTATTAAAATGGTTCGTTTGATTGAAAAATAAAATGGTTTTGGCCGAAAAAGGGGTACAGACGGGTTTTTGAAGATACGACGACCTAATGTCGAAGTTTTTGCTTAAAAGGTATAAGTTTTGAAAAGATTGGATATTTGAGAAAAAATTGTCTTAAGTTTTATTGAAATGAAACTATTCGCACGATGTTTTTTTTTTATGACATGAAGTCGACAAAAAAACAATTCCCTTGGATTGAAACGGACGAGAGATATACGGATTAACGATCAATTAATTAAAATTATAATTAAACAATTAACTAATGAAATTTAAATCATACTAGCGTGCATCTTAAAAATTAAATAAATAATAAAAAAGTACATGAAGATTAAATTAAGAAAACATAGATTTTTTTGATAATTAAACACATGACAAAAATTAAATCATGAAACATGTATTTTTGAATAATTAAATAAGCAACAACACAAAAATATAATAGAAGAAAAAAGTATGTTTCAAAATTAAATATAGGTGAAATTTTAATTAAATGTTTTTATGTGTTTTTTTTATACTAATTAATAATTTTACAGCAAAGTAGATTAATAATTAACTAAGTATATTAAATAATATGGCCAAAAGAAATAAAAGATAGATAAGTGACCCAACCAAGATTTGAACCCAGGACACTTAGCTTGCTAGTAATATGCCTTGCCAATTAAACTGTTAACACTTTCTGTTATATCTACAACTCAAATAAATTAAAAGGAAAGGAACTAGAAAAAGCTAAGCCAAAAGGGCCCAATGGGCCAAACGGGTTATGGACTAAGAGGGAAAAAAAGAAACCCTAGTACAACTTGAAACAAGCCGCCGCCGCTTGGAAATGAAGAGGGAAAAAACAGATTTATTATTACTATTATATCATTTTCAATAGAGTAGATTAAATGGGAAATGGAACAAATATTAAGAAACTGTAGCGACCCTCTCTCTCTCAGTATGGACGTCACCTTCCTCTTTCTATGCTATTATTCCTTGCTGCAGCAGCACCACTTCCAACAATTACAGCACCACCAACTATCACTTGAAAGACGGCAGATGAGGGAGAAACCGGAGAGTAAGAGGAGTGAACGCCGCCAGATGAATCAACTGCGAGAGCAGCCTTAACAAGCTGCCGTTGGATCTCGAAAGTAGAGGCGGCGGAGGCCTCGATGCGAAGTCTTCGCTTACAACGACGGCGTCCAGCGGCGGCCTCTTCGGCGGAGAAAAAAAAAGCGAAGGACCGTGCGGTGATGGAAATGGGAGGTACGGTGGATGAACGGATAGAGCGGAGGAGAAGACGTTGTAATAACATGTTTTTGGGTGATGGATGAATGAAAGTGAATTATTTGCATTTTCTATGAAATTAATGGTGTGTTTTCTACTGTTTTCATTATATGTTATTTCGTGTGATTATGACTCTTGGTTAGTTTTTTTTTGTACCATAATATTAACAGCATCATGTCTCAGTTCTCATCTGAGAACTACTCGGTAATATTCTCTCTCGCGGATGTACAACGACATCAAAAAAAAACTTGACAAAGATGAAAGCAAAGGCTAAGGTAGAAATCAAGATCAAATCGAAAGTTCTGAACAACAAACAGACATATATGGCAGCGAGTATAAATGACAAAAGTTAAGGAAAATACCGACTCTGAGACTTCTAAGAGGTGTCGATCTGAAAGATAAGTTGCTGCTCTTTGTTTTGCTTTCGTTTCTGGTATTATTGGTTTGTATATTATGCAGGTTACGACATCGGTGTTGATGTTGTGTTTGTTGTTATTTGCTTCTGTAACGATGGACAAAGTTGAAGCTTGGAGGAAGATTGTTGCTAATTTTTGGAGTGTTTTGTTACCGAAGGTGATGGGTTATGTCCAGAACAAAATGATGAACGAAAAGGGAGTATGTATGTTTATGGGTGCTGAACGGTGATGGTGGTTGGCAATGTGTGTGAATGTGAAGAGAGGGATAATATGGGAGTTAGAAGGTTTGTGAAGAAATTCAAAGGAGTTATTACCGTTGTGGTTTTTTGACTGAGGTTGAAGTTTATTCTATAGATAGAGGAAATATAGTATGACTTTTTGCTTTATTCTTTTTTTTTTGAAAAAATGCCATTCTCATGTAAGTTTCTTGGATGTATTATGGTACAGATTTTGCAGTATGACAGTAACAGGTTTGTGGGAAGATTTGGCAAGAGTTGAAGCAAATTTGGATAGAACAAAAATTAACAACAAGAAAAAAAATAGTAATAATAATTAACCAAAAAAAGAGATTGTTAGTGACAACTAAACTAAAAGTACAAAAAAAAAATTAAAATAAGAGACACAAACAAAAAAGTGTTTAGTAATAATAATAATTCAATTTAAGAAATTCAATTAATATTAGAACTAAATCAAAATTAAAAAGGAACTAAAATTATAATGACTAAAGAAATAAAATGTAAATAAAAGAAAATGGTATTAACTATATGTTTTTTTTTTCTTTGAGATTTTCTGGATGTAAAATACAACTAAAATAAAGATGACGCTAATCACATATTTTTTTTAGATTTTTCAAATAAAGTGATACAAACATATAAATTTAAATAGAATTAATAAAAGACCATATTTTTTATATTTTGAATAAAGAAAAATAAAAAAAATAAAAAAAATTATAAATAAATAAATAAAAATAATAACACATGTTAAGTGCGTCTTTTGCAATTTTTTAATGGAAAAGAAATCATGAATAAAACATAGTCGAACCAAAATTTCACCAAATTCACAAAACAACTTTTAACGTCAACAATTTTTCATGGCTTTTTAATGCATAATTTTCCCTTGATTTATAAAGAAAAGTTGTGGATGATGTCAATATATATATATCTGGCTAGACGGTTGCATGCGATTTCATTGGACCGCTACTGATACTTATACATATAATATTAATAATTTTACTTTAAAGTGTATATATATATATATATATATATATATATATATATATATATATATATATATATATATATATATATATATATATATATATATATATATATATATATATATATATATATATATATATATATATGTATATATGATAATAATAGTAGGTATAATGAAGGTAATAAAAACTCAATAACATTAAATAACCAAAAACATAAAAAAAATAGGAATAATAAGAAACAATGTTATTGGATAAAGAACTGGTAAAAAAGAATAAAAATGAAATAACAAAATATCTGAAAACGAGAAAACAAAACAGTAATGGAAAACAATAATGTTTCCTGCCCCAAACTTAAATAGATAGTGTCCTCACTGCCTTAAGAAAAGGATAAGAAAGAAAATAAAAATAGCAGGGTCTATCTAGCCACGATGTGGGCCTCCAGGAGGTGCAGTAACAGAATAGAGTTGCTGATATAGATGATCAAAATGTTTTGTTATGGTATCCATGAAACCATGAAATTCCAAATGCAAAGTGGTGAACTCTCCGCATAAACCTTTAATCTGTGTCTCCAAATTAACAATAGCGGTAGTAAAATCAGAAGGTGGAGGTCCAACATTGGCCGGAATAGTGACAGCAGTATACACGGGAGAAGCATCTGGTGTAACTTCATGATGAACAGGGGAAGGAAGATCATAATAATGAGGAGGAGTCTGAGGGTCAAAATCATCGGAGATCTCTGGTTGAGGTGTTTCGGGTGAGGTAGGGGCAGATGGGGGATCCAAGTCAAAAATCCAGTTATCTCTGTTATGAACACTCGTTATAGGATTAGGTAAAACAAATTGGCGGACAATGTTATGGTTAATGAGCAAGTCAAACTGAAGTGGTCCAAGGTTTCCTATAAGGTGAGTGTTGAAACAGAAATGGATGTTCATGGATCGAATTCCTCCATAGGGTTTTAATCCTAGAAGTGGTTGTCTCATTCCGATAGCATTTGCAATCATTGTAACTAGGCCTCCTATAAGGATAGGTGTATGAGCGGTCTCTATAATGCGAACAAAATTGGCTAACATAAAGGTAACCGCATTGACAGGACGGTTTTGTGAAGCACAAAACAAAATGAAAAGCTTATCACGGGACACCAAAGAAATGTTTTGTTCTTTTCCAAACAGGGTGTGGGCCAGGATTTTGTGGAAATACCTTATAGTAGGGTTATGGATGCTTTCAGAAAGCATATCATCAGGCTCGGGATGGTTATTACCAGTTATGCTACCCCATAAGTAATTAAGCTCATGGTCGGAGAGGATATCCTCTTGGGCGACAGTAAAGAGATCAGGGAAACTAGGGAAGCCTAAAAGGTTAGCAAACTCATGATTGTTATAACGAAAATCAATGCTAAACAGTCTAAACCGGATCATACCACGGTTAAACCCTAGTCCATGGTTAGGCACATAATTCAAAGAACTTGGGAACTCTAGGGTAAGCTTATGATATGAACTAAATCTCCTCCGAATAGGGGATGTATCCCAACCTATCTGGTTCAGCAGGTATAAGACACTTTCTCTAATGCCTAGGGCGGTCATAGCACGGCCATCAGCATAGATGGTGGGAGTCATCTCCCTATCGACCAAGTCCTCAAACCTCCTCATTTGATCTCTTCCCCTGAAAGTAATACTCATATAATCTACTCTTGTTATTTCGAGAGTTAGTCACTAGCTAAAAAAAGTAAATGAGCCTGAAAAGTAAGTAGATTATAGGAAAATCCTGTTAGCATCGGCCAAATGCCTTTTAGAGTAAAAAAAAAAGAAAAATAAGAAAATGATAATAATAAAAGAAAGATGATAATAAATAAATCATTTTTAAAAAAAATATGAAAAGTTAAAGAAAAATATAAAGATAAAACTATGGGTTGTCTCCCACAAAGCGCTTTGTTTTATGTCGCAAGCTCGACACATTTTCAATTATGAATTAGTCGTTTGGTTCAGCCGGTGGCTGTAGAAGCTTTAGGGTAGCTGAGTAATATTTGTTTTCGATACGATGGTAATGCTTCAAACGTTTCCCATTTACAATAAATGGATCACTAGAATTACTCCTAATTTCTACGACGCCACTTGGGAAAACCTTAGTGATTTCGAAAGGGCCAGACCACCTAGAGCATAGTTTTCTGGGAAAAAGTTTAAGTTGGGAGTTAAATAGAAGTATTACATTTCCCTCGTTTAATTCTTTCCTAGAAATGTGCTTATCGTGCCACTTTTTTGTTCTTTCTTTGTAGATCTTGGCATTTTCATAAGCGTCTAATTGAAGTTCTTCTAATTTGTTGATATCTAGGATTCTGTTTCCTACAGCGACAGAGTAATTTAAATTAGGTTTTTAATAGCCCAATAAGTTTTATGCTCGATTTCCACCGGAAGATGACATGATTTTCCATAGACTAACTTGAAAGGTGTGGTCCCTCTGGGTGTTTTAAAAGATGTCTTATATGCCCACAACGCTTCGTGTAACTTAGAGGACCAATCTTTTCTAGATGTGGCAACAATTTTCTCAAGTATTTTCTTAATTTCTCTATTTGAGACCTCTACTTGGCCACTCGTCTGTGGGTGGTATGGTGTTGCTACACGGTGTTTAACTCCATATTTCACTAAGAGTTTTTCGAAGATTTTCGAGATGAAGTGGGAGCCTCCGTCACTAATGACGAGTCCTGACACACCAAATCATGGAAAGATTATGTTCTTGAACAGCTTGATTACTACCCGTGTGTCATTTTTTGGAGAGGCTATAGCCTCGATCCATTTGGATACATAATCGACAGCTACGAGTATTTATTTTTTACCAAAAGAAGATGGGAAGGGTCCCATGAAGTCAATTCCCTATACATCGAAAATTTCGACTTCTAGAATACCTTTCTAAGGCATTTCATCGCGTTTGGAGATGTTGCCAGTGCGTTGGCAACGGTCACAATTTAAAACAGCGATGTTCACATCTTTCCATAGATTAGGCCAAAAAAACCAGATTGTAGGATTTCCGCACAGGTTTTTGATGTACTTGAATGCCCTCCATAAGGTGCAGCGTGGGAGTGGTCTATAATACTTTCGATTTCTTCCTCGGGTATGCATCGATGAAAAATCCCATCAGAACCTCTTTTAAAGAGGAGGGGGTCATCCCAGTAGTAGTGTTTAAGGTCGTGGAAGAACTTTTTCTTTTGTTGGTACGTTAGCTCAGGTGGAAGGACACCGGCGGCTAGGTAATTTACGAAATCAGCATGCCATGGTGCAACAGAGTGAGCTAATGCCACTTTTACCAAATTGTTGGTTTCAAGACTGCAGGCCTCTATTTCTAAAGGATAGTTGGCTTGATAATGTTCAACCTCATTGTTTTCCAACTGAGCTATAAGTCTCTCATATGGGGAATCATTGTTAATTGGTATTTGTTCGGTCTTCAGATTTTCAAGCCTAGAAAGATGATCTGCTACGACGTTTTCGGTTCCCTTTTTGTCTTTAATTTCCAAATCAAATTCCTGTAGTAATAGGATCCATCTCAATAGTCTAGGTTTGGCATCTTTCTTAGTTAGAAGGTATCTAATAGCGGCGTGATCGATGTAAATGATAATTTTAGCTCCCACCAAGTATGAACGGAATTTATCTAATGTGAACACAACTGCTAAAAGTTCCTTTTTCGTCATAGCATAATTCATTTGGGATTCGGCTAGGGTTCTACTCGCATATTATATTACATGGAGTTTTTTTTCTTTTTGTTGTCCTAGAACAGCACCTACAGCATAATCACTCGCATCTCACATTATCTCGAATGGTTCGCTCCAATCTGGAGACTGCATAATTGGTGCAGAGATTAGTGCTTGTTTAAGCGTTTGAAACGCTTCGGAACATTTGTTATCAAAGATGAATTCAGTGTCTTTCATCAGCAACTTAGTTAGTGGCTTGGTTATTTTAGAGAAATCTTTGATGAAATGTCGGTAAAAAATGGCGTGTCCTAGAAAACTTCTTATTTCTCAAACAGTTTTAGGAGGTTGAAGGTTTTTTATCACTTCTATTTTTTCCTTATCCATCTCGATTCCTTTGTCGAACACAATGTGTCCAAGTACTATCCCTTGTCGGACCATGAAATGGCATTTTTCCCAGTCGAGAACAAGATTGACGCTCACGCATCGTTTGAGTACCATTTCAAGGTTTGCTAAGCATCCTTCTAAACTTTCACCACAGACGGAGAAATCGTCCATAAAGACTTCCATCAGTCCATCCAGGAAATCTCCAAAGATCGCCATCAT